AAAAAAAAAAAAAAAAAACAAAAAAAAAACATTTAATCTGGGGGGGGCACAACAAATTGTTATGAGCTGGACTGCTTCCCCCCCCCAAAAAAAACAAAGAAACAAACAAAAAATCTTCATGTTAATGTCCAAAATCCTATTACTTCAAATATGATAATATATGGATGCACAGTCTTTAAAATCAATTACAGACTTAAAAAGGGTCATTAGATGGGCCCTGTTCTAACACCATTGGTGTCCTATAAACTAATAAAAAAATAATCTCTTGGGGGAAAAAAAAAGGAAGTTTAGACCAAAAGTGGTAATAAACAGCCATCTATAGACCAAGAAGAAAGGCATCAGAAGAAACCTTGATCCCAGCCTTGCTTCTAAAAGGTCAAAATAAATAAATAAATAAATAAATAAGCAAACCAGCCTCTGGCACTTTCCTACTGCAGCCCCAGGAAGCAACTCTGCAGGCCTACGTGTGTGGTCCCAAGGTTTCTTCCATGTCTTCACCATTATGGTACTAGCTACTACCATAAATACTGAAGGCTTTTTTTTACTAGTTGCTTTCCACAGATTCTCATGCAATCTGGACAGCTATACACAACACCCTCATTTTGTTATGAGACAGGAAGGCCTAAGTACATCTTTATAAATGGCCAAGAAGAAATTCTAACTCAGATGTGACTTTATGGATTCCTACAAAATATTGAATATTTTTCATTTTATAATGAAGTCTTCCAAATTGTTCATTTGAAAGAATACTTCCAGTTTGGCATGATGGCACATTGCCTTTAATCCCAGCATTCAGGAGGCAGAGGCAGGAGGATCTCTTGAGTTTGAGGCCAGCCTGTTTTACAAAGTGAGTTCTAGGACAGCCAGAGCTACATAGAGAAACCGTGTCTCGAAAAACAAACAAACAAAAATGCAATCACTAAAACAATGCATATTTCCTCCAGGGATAAAGTTATAGTTTTAAAAATGAGTAAAAACTGGTGGCTTCAGTCTGAAAAATAATTGTTGAGAGTCTTTTAAAGGCACAAACTGCAAAACTGAGGGAAAAAAGAAAGGCAAGTCCCACATGTGTCTTCCTTATAGCTGACTATTTGGGATTGTGAATGCACGTAACACATTGAACTCTTCAAATTAAACACCTTCAGTTTCATATTTTTAAGGGAAAATAATGGGGTATAAATTTAAAAAATTCTCCACTAATAGAGGTACGTTACAGAATATGGAAATTCCTTACACTTGAATATGAATTTCTATGGATGTTGACTTTAATGAAGGCAACTGTGACCTCACTGACACTCACCCTGTCGATCAAACAATGAATCTACAGCTGTGGCTTTATTTGAAGGAGCTTCTGTGATTGGCTTGAGATACGACCTATACCCTTTTAAAATGGATGCCATAAATCGCAAAAATGTCTCTTGGATTTCCATCTCAAGTTGTGTCATCTTTTTTTGCCAAGAGAAATCTGCTTCAATTGGAGTCATCTCAATTGCTGAACTTTCCTGAGTTTTCCGGTGAACTGACAACAGAAGTAAAAACAAAACAAGGCATTAATATATAATATCTATTTATATAATGACTGATAAAATAGTCAAAGTAAAGCCCACAACTTCCTTTTTCTTTCTTTTTCTTGCGATATTCTAGCTATGTAACCCAGGCTGCCTTCACACTCAACATCTTGCTGTCTCATCCTCCCTAACTACATAGCAAGTTGGAATCAGCTGGGATAAACATGAGATACAATCTCAAAAATCCTAAACAATTAGCACTCAGGCAGCAGAGTGCTAACCTAGCCCTGGGTCCACTCCCCAGAACTATACAAACTGGGCCTGTACTTTACATCTGCAACCCTAACATTTAGGGGGTAAAGACAAAAAGATCGGGAGTTTGAAGTCACTTTTAGCTCTCTGGACAGAGGGTAGAAAGGTCTGGATACAGAGAAAGTGCTTTAAAAATTAACTACACATTGTTTATGTGTATTATGTAATAACTCATTAAGCAGCACACAGTGTTGTAACAATTATCATTTTAACTATCTTTTCTTCCATTTAAAATACCTTTGTAGGGGAGAGGCAGAAAGGATCACAAGTTCCAGGCCAACCTGAACTATATAGCACACTATATAACTATATAACACTGTCTCAGAACAGTGAAAAGGGGCTAGAGAGATGGGTCGTGATTAAGAATGCATACTGCTCTGGCATGGGACCAACCACCCACAATGGACAGCTAAGAGCTCCTAGGGATCTGATACCCTGTTCTATAGGTACCTACACACACACACACACACACACACACACAGAGAGAGAGAGAGAGAGAGAGAGAGAGAGAGAGAGAGAGAGAGAGAGAGAGAGAGAGAGAGAGAAATAAAATCCTAAAAAGGAAGAAAGAGATGGGAGACAGTTCCCATCTACCTTTGTGGCCAGTGCCCACTCCCTCCCTCCTCATACTCACCTGAGTAGAGCTGGGGATACAGCCTCCTCAAAGACCCAAGCAGACTCTTGCATGGCTTCTTGGGAAGCTGCTTCCAGTTTACGTTCTTCTTCTCATCAGATCTATTAAATGAGAATTAAGAATGTCTGTTATTGTAATTCATTTGTACTAGACAAACTTCTTATGTCAAAGTTAAAAGAAAAAGGGCATACATTCTCTATGCACTGAAGACTGACACATGAAGTGAGGAGGTGCTTTTAGGATGATTCTCTTTCCTTTTCAACAGACCTCAGTCAATGTGGCTGCCTCCACCAAAGCCCCCAACAGCCTTCACTACTGGAGTAAGTACAACACTGACTTAAGTCTGACTTCCAACGGCACGTTTAAATATTATAATAATTTAAGAGTTAAATCAACTGACTTGAGATTGAGATGTTAGCCTATTCGCAGAACTCTAAAGTATGCCCAAACTAAGAAATGGAATTTAACGAAGAAGTAAAATACACTTAGTTCAATGCATTCCTTACAGAGGTGTAGAAAGAAATCAAACACATTATTTAACATAGTCTATGACCAAAAACCACAAAAATAAGCTAAATAAAAGCTAAAATTTTCAAAATTTTATAATTCAGAAATATAAAATACAGCAGAGACAATGGCTTTGGAAAATGCTCTTCTAAAACTCTGCATGTATGTATCAGGCTTTCTTTTAATGTTACACCTTAGTTTTCAGTCTTCAGTGAATAGAAAACTATAGAAACACCAAAGTCTCATCTGACCTAAGGATTAGTTAAGAGAGCCTTGAACTTTAAAGGTCTCAGGTTTGGTCAAAACCAAGTAGGGTGTTAGAACTAAGAAAAATAAAACTAAGATTCATTATTAGTGTTGTCTTTGTTTAGGTTTCAAATGGGAAGAAGGTATTCTCCCTTCGATTACTACAGTCCAACAAAATATTACAAGCACGGTCCAAGAAACTACAAGTAGAAATTAACTTCTAATACTCGCTGGGTGGTGATATCACCAGCACAGAAGCAAATATAGTATCCTCCCCAGAAAGATAATTGACTAAAAGGGCTGTAACAATTCTCATGTTCCAGGTACTGTTAAAAGACACATATTTTAGCAGGGTATGATGGCAAATACCTATGACTTAGGAAGCAAAGGAAGGAGAACAACCCCAAGTTTAAGGACAGCCTGGTATATAGCAAGTTCCAGGTCACTCTGGGACACATAGCAAGGTCTTTCTTTTATTGTTTGTTTTGTTTTTGTTTTTCAAGATAGAGTTTCTTTGTGTAACAGTTCTGGCCATCCTGTAACTCATTTTGTAGACGAGGCTGGCCTCAATCTCACAGAGATCTGCCTGCCTCTGCCTCCTGAGTGCTGGGATTAAAGGCGTGAGCCATCAATTTCTTCTCTCTAAAATGACAATGCTAATGTACCTAATATACAGTGACTGCCACATGTTCACAATCTGTCTAATTCTGGGGACTATCAACTATAAGAAAGGATGTTGGGCTGAGTATATGGTACATGACTGTAACCCTAGCACTTGAGAAAGGCATGAAGAGCTGTTCAAGATCCCCTTGGCTACCACAGCTAGCTCAAATTCAGGGCTAGCCTGGGATATGTGATACTTTCATAAACAGACAAAAATTTTAGAGCTATCTATGAGGCTGAGTGGGATCAGGCTTAACTGACACCAGACCCTGGGTTCAATTCGAAGGAGAGGGAGGGATGTTTGAAACTTACAAAGTGATTCATTACTTCCAAGTTGTCTATAAATCTAGATTATATATATATATAAAATAATGAGCCACTATAGCTGTACAGTTTCAAAACACAGTGGTGAATCCATCTCAACTTTAAATTTTAACTTGAAATTTTTGTGGGGTTATTTAAGGAAATGTCTCACTCTGTAGCTAAGGCTGACCTGGATCTCACTATGTAGCCCAGGATAGTCTCCAACTCATGATGATCTTCCTCTTTAGTCTTCCAAGTACTGGGTTTACAAGCATAAGCTACCATACTTGGCTTCAGTATTATTTTCTAAGCATAATTTTCTTCCTTTCATACAACTATTCTTTCAGTTGACATACGGGTATCTTCCCAAACAACTGTACTGCAATGACCACAGGGGCCTGGAGAGAGAGGAACTCATGTGGCATAAGCTGGCTCCAAACTCACCATATAGTAGAGGTTTCAGGAATTTCTGATCCTGCTGTCTCTGCCACTTGAGTGCAGAGGTTATAGTATAGGCATGTGCCACTATAGCATATCCCTCAGTATTGGAGAGGGAAAACAGGGCTCTAAGAATGCTAAGCAAGCCCTCTACCAACCAAGCTACATTCCCAGCCCCCAGCTTTTTAATCTACATCATTTCCTGCCAATTCAACTTATTTCTAGATGCTTCCAAACAGCTCTAATTATATATGGTGGAAACTACACATGGAAGATAATAAAGATGGATCACTTACACATATATCATGTTTGTATCCAAGTCAATGCAAACAACATCTTGTGGTGGGTCATGAAGATCAAAGTACCTTGAGTCCACTCCAACTATAAACGGGAAAGGTGCACTGAGCACTCCAGCCAGTGAAAGAGGACAAAGGGGGATATATGGGCATTGCCACTGAAATGGAAAGATCATCTAGGGGAAAAGTTTTTTAAAAATTAACCAAATTCAAATTTGCAATGAAAATTACACAATTCACTATTACTGAAAGGGACTGTTGAAAAGCAATGAAATGTTTTAACTTTAAATTTCACTCCAAAATTAAGTGACTATAAATACTACTGGATTAAAATTCTCAAGAATGATGATGATCACGGCACATTTAAAATCCTAACAGCTCTTTGCAAGTTATCCTTCTGACAGCTACACAAATCCCACATGCATATTTTAAGGAGAATCAAAGCAAAGAGATGAAACTGCCTCCCAAATCATAAAACAAACTTATATTTTTATAAACTTAGGCATTTTACCAAATAATGAGCTCTAACCAAAATCAAGCTAAGTGTACCAGAGAGCAGGTGGAGACTAGGAGGGCTGGAGTTAATCTCAGTGGCAGAGTGTTTGCTTAGCATGCTTAGGTTCCTTAGCATCCTTGGGTTCTATTTCAAGCACCACACTAAAATTTTAATTATAACAAGTCATTAAAAACTAAGGAATCCCTTGAGAATCACTTGAAGATCTAACAAAACATTTTCTACACTTCAAACAAACATTTAAAATAATTCAACTTCAGTAAAGCTGAACCTCTTCAAAATACAGTTGATATGAAACATCCTCTGAGACTCAAATGAGCTCTTCTAATTCCAGCAATGGGGAGCAGATGCAGGCAGATCTCTGTGGCTGGCAAGGCATCCAGCACAACCAGTGAGAAAATCAGTCTCAATTAAAAAAAAAAAAAAAAAAAGTGGAATGTGGAATGCACCAGAAGAATGACATCAGAGGTTTGTGTTTGGTCTCCATACACATACACATACACCCTCACCCACATTTGATTGGGGAAGTCCTTCTATGTATAATGTTTGTCTTATTGGTTGATAAATAAAGTAATGCTGGCCAATAGGGAAGCAGGTTAGGTGGACTAGGAGTTGAGGAGGATTCTGAGAAATGTAGTAAAGAGAAGTCTTATGATCTAGGCAGGAAGTGACATAGCAGGCTGACTCAGAATATAAGCAGGGACAAGCAGGAAATCACTCTCTTCCTCCTCCTCTCTTCTCTGGGAGCTGCCATGTGAGCCCAACAAGAGAGGACACATGCTGCTGGTGTCCTCAATCAGATAAGTCTTTATAAAAATATAGATTAATAATTATGGTTGATACTTAAGACAGAGATAGCAAATAAGAAATCCTAGACATTGGCCAGCAGCATTGTAATTAGTATAAGACTGTGTGTTATTTTGGGTGCCCACGTGTCGGCAGGGCTTGGGAAGCTTGGCAGAAAGTCTTATCCTTACATAAACTCATCAACATGAACTAACATACACATACAAACACACACACACAAAAATTAATAGTTTTAATTTACAATTTGCTATCTTAATTGGTGTGTGTGTGTGTGTGTGTGTGTGTGTGTGTGTGTGTATGTTAGGGATTTTTTGGTTTTGTTTCTAAGAACAGTTACTAATAGGTTGCAAAAAAAAAACCAGACTAAGGGTCTGGAGAGATGGCTCAATGCTTAAGAGCACTTGCTGCTCTCGCAGAAGGGCTGAGTTCAGTTCTGAGAACCTGCCTTGACAGGTTCAAAACCTTCTGCAACTCCAGCTCTAGAGGATCTGATGCCTTCCTCTGGCCTTCATGGGTATAGCCCATATATACACAGTACACAGCCACAAACACATAAGACAAATAAACACATCTTTAAAAAAAAAAAAAAAAAGACTAAAGCCGGGCTTGGTGGCACACACCTTTAATCCCAGCACTTGGGAGGCAGAGGCAGGAGGATCTCTGTGAGTTCGAGACCAGCCTGGTCTACAAGAGGTAGTTCCAAGACAGCTTCCAAAGCCACAGTGAAACCCTGTCTCGAAAAACCAAGGGAAAAAAAAGAAAAAAAAAAAAAGACTAAAGTAATATTTTTTTGGTTCACATACAGTTACCTTTCCAACCAAGTATACTGTAGTGACTACAAGGACTCATTCAAAAAAATTTTTTTTATATGAGCATTACATAGCAGAGCTGGCTTCAAACTCACTATGATGTGGACAATGACCATGAATTTCTAGTCTTCCTGCCTCTGCCACCATAATGTGACAACTACCTTTTGCTCTAAGTAAGAATCACCATTCTGTGCCTGGTTCAATTTTCACCTTCACCCATTACCACCCATCCCAAAGAAATATTATATCTCCACCCCCGCCACAGGCATTACAGATTATTATTATTTAAGACTAGGGTTTCTGTACTCAAGAATTCTATACTTAAAGACATGTGAGCATTTATTAGATGCCAAGCAATCTTAAGCAATGGGACCACAGTATCAATAAAACAGACCCATGCCCTCCTAGCTTCAGTCTAGAATATTACTCTACTTTTTTTCTATAAACTGCACAGTATTTTAGGCCTTGTGGCCTTTGTAACAACTACTTAACTCTGCTATTGTACAAGAAAACAGTAACAGGTAATAAATCAGTAAGTAGCCTATGTTTCAATAAAACTTCATCACTTGCACAACTCCTGATAGACATGAACTGGCAGGTCAGATCTGCTCAGTCTGTTGACACCTACTCTGACAGTCTTCAAAGAGGTAGAAAATAAACAGAAGACATAATAAAGTGTGTACTCTATTAAAAAGCGAATAATACTATGGAAAAAGAAAAGGACCCTCATGAACATGGTTAGAGTTCAGGGCAGGTACAGACAATGTGAGTGTCATTATGAAAAAGGACAACTGCCTGAAACACTAACATAAGGAATAAAGCAAGAAAGCAGGGTGACTGCAAATGGCAGCTCCCAACTCTAATCCCAACACAGGAGGCTAAGGCAGGAGAACTGCTAAAGTTAAGACCACCAACCTGGTAAGTTCCAGGCAAACTTTAGCTGAGTTTAAGCCTGTCTTAAAAAAAAAAAAAAAAAACCAAAACCAGGGGGGGGGGGTGGGAGAGATGCCTTGGCATTTAAGATAGAGTACACTCTTGCAGGTATCCTAAGGTATCCTAACCCATATCTAATGGTTCACAACCAACCACCTGTAACTTCAGCTCCAGGGGATCCAATGCCCTCTTTTGGCCTCCCCAGGCACCAGCACTCATGTGTCCAGATACACATACATACATACATACATACATACATACATACATACACACACACACACAATAAATTTTAAAATAGTTAAAAAAAAAAAAACAGGGGCTAGAGATGGCTCAGCAGTGAAAGAACACTTGCTGTACAATCATAAATCTGGAGTTCAGATCCCAGCACCCATGTAACAAGCCTGGTATTTCAGGAATGCACAGGCACACACACAACACACACACAGAGCAACAAAACACTCAGCACGATCTGATTTCTAAACGCAGTAAGAAAGCATGACAGTGTTTTAAATAGAACTTGACTTTATTTGTGCTGTACCCAAGAGCTAAACATATCCTATTCATAATAAAGCCATATAGTGAAAATAGTTAAAAGTTAAAATGAGAAATTAACCATGTAATCAGTTTGTATAATTTAAAATCAACTAGTTTCTTTGATGGTTTGTTCTGCTTTATCATTTATTTATTTATTTATTTATTTATTTAATTTGAGGCAGGATCTTGACACACACACACACACACACACACATATATATATATATATATCTGTCTCAGTCTCCCAAGTGTTGTGATATTGTACAGCAACTTTCTTCCAATTAAGACAATCCGTCATTGAGAAGCAGAGAGTCAAGAGATTAACAGGCCTGGGAAACCTGACTCAGACCCACAAGCCCCTCTCCTAGTACAGGAACAGTAAACAATTGCTCCAGCTCAGTAATCTGGAAGACTCTGATCAACTGCAGAGTCTGCAAGTCCTGCAAGATGGCTAGGCTCCAGCATCCACAAGTTGTCATTTATACTACATTTGAGTTGTCCCTGCTCCTGTGAGTAACCTCTCACCAATACTCCTGTAAGTAGTCCCAATAAACAGACTAGTTTTTCCAAGATGGCCTTTGGTTGGTTCATTACTTTAGTCTCTTCTTGTTTCCCTATTAGAATGATGAGACCTTTATTCATGTCTTCCCATGAAACACGGGACTACAGATAGATACCACCAGTGTCCACTTACAAGCTTTACTGTTATATAATAAAGAAGTATTTACTCTCTGGAGAAAAATAAAATATGAAAAATTAGAATCTGACATTTTTTCCTCCTCAAACACAAGTCACTTTTGTTTTCTTTATCTTTCATATTAATCTGACTGGCCTAGAATTTAAAAGTTGCTTTCTTTAAAGAAGATTACAAATCATATAGTAGTAATTTTGTTCTAAAAGGAAAAGTCTTTACTTACAGCAACAACAGCTTCAGCTACCCCAGTCAAGACAGCTGGCCTAAGAGAATGTAGCAGAATCTTACTCTCAAGTAAAACCAGCAGCAGCAATGTTGCACAGTTCTCAGGACCCAGATTCATCAGTAATGTACTAAAGTTGGCCCCACTAGAAAACAGAAAAAGACAATGTTGTAAACTACTTTGCTAAAATATGATCAATATTTACTTACTAAACAGGTTAATAATCGAATGATGGAGGATGTCCTTCTGTATGCTGTGAACACATGTTTCTCTTACTGGTTGATGAATAAAGCTGTTTCGGCCAATGGACAGGCAGGGTGTAGCCTGGCAGGAAGTATAGGTGGGGCTATCAGACTAAAAGAATGCTGGGAAGGGGAATACAGAGAGTGAGTCTCGAGGGAGATGCCATGTAGCTGCTGAGAAAGCAAATGGCTTGGACATCACGGGTAAGCCAAGACCATGTGGAGATACACAGATTAATTGAAATGGTTTAATAATTAAGAGAGAGCTAGTCAATAAGAACCCTGAGCCATAGGCCAAACGGTTTATAATTAATATAAGCCTCTGTCTGTTTATTTGGGACTAAACAGCTACTGGACTGGGCAAGACAGAAACTTCAATCAACAATCTAATGTTAATTTCAATTTGTAACTTAGCAATGAGAAACAATGTAGCTAATTAATGAGGTAGCATATAGTGTGAATCAAATGAACATTTGTTAAGAAAGATTTTTCTGAAGCTCAAACATTTGAGCTGAGTTCAAAGGAACAGTGGCAAGGGTGTGATGGGGCCAGAAGATAGCATATGTAAAGGCTCAGGAAAAAGCTAATGTCATAATCCAAGAACTGCAAAATAAGGGTGCATGTAAAAATAAGAGATTTGGCTAAAGAGAAATGACTGACCCATTATACTTATATTCATAAGAGGATGCCTTGGTTCCACAGTAGGTTAAAAAAAAAACAAACAAACAAACAAAAAAAAAACTGAAGGATAAGAGTAAGGGTTAGGGGCTGAAGAAATGGCTCAGAGGTTAAGAGCACTGACTGCTTTTCCAGAGGTCCTGAGTTCAGTTCCCAGCATTGTGGCTCACAACCATCTACAATTCAATCTGGTACCCTCTTCTGGAATATAGGTAAAACAGTGTATGTGTAATAAATAAATAAATCTTCAAAAAAAAAAAATAAAAGAGTAAGGGTTAATGGAGCAGTACCCTGGGTTAGTGATGCAGATGAAAAGAAGTGAAGGGGTATGGAGGCGGTTAACACTAGTTCACCATGAACATTTACTTACAAACTGCGTATGGGAAGGGAGTTTAAAAGGGAAGCACTTCCTATATCAGATCTTGTAATTCTGGTTTTATAGAATGAGTGTACATGCACCTGTGTGCATGCAGTATATGGGCTTGCATGTGGTGGTCAGAAAACAGCTTTAGGTGTTGGTCCTCAGCATCTTCTATCTTTTGTTTACAAAAGGATCTATCCTTGGCTCAAAACTTCACCATATGGGCTACCCGTCTGGCCAGTGAGCTTCCAGAATCCACTTATCTTTGCTTCCTGTTTGGCCACTGCTGGGATTACTGGCATGTACCACCCACATAGGCTTTCCACATGGGTTTTATGGGCCAAAATTCAGATCCTTGCACTTGCATAGCAAGTGCTTCACCTACTGAGTCATTTCCCCAGCTTTACAATTTTCTGAAGTGCTACACCACCCACCCAGGTATCAAGGATGGCAATACTAAGGGATGCCCTATCCTTAACTAGTTTCTCATCCTGCCTCTAAAGTACTCTAACCCTTCTTTTTTCCTTTATTGGAGCTTGAATTCAGGGCTGTGTAAGCTAAGCAAGTGCTCTATCCCCAGAACTATACAGGTACCCGTAGTCTTTTATTTTAGGACAGGTCTCACTAAGTTGCCCAGGTTGACCTTAAACTTGCAATCCTCCTGCCTCAGTGTTCTAAGATGCTATGATTACAGGCTTATGCCACCATGACCGGGTCTGGAAAGTATTTTAAAGTATTCTGTTCTAAGCAAATAAATATAGCATTTAAAATATTATCAAATGGGATGAGGGTGTGGCTTTTAAGGCCAAACATACATAAATAAGGTTCTGGGTTCCATCTACAACAAACAAGCAAACAAAACAAGCAAATAAGCAAACCATCATTACCTTAATGGTAAAGGCGTGGAAACTGGCTGTGATAATATTAATGCATCATGGACTGATAGCTTAAACAAACAAAAAGATAAATTAGTCAAACCAATTTTATAGTCTCAATATTTAGATAAAGGTCAAACAGAAAATTGCTCACTATGCAGAAAAGTATATAATTTTAAGCACACTGAGATGTAGGTAGCAGCTGTAATTACTCAGATATTTTTACTAGCTCTTAAATTGCTGGCTGAGTTTTGACCTAGTTAATGGGTTAAATACAGGTATATAAAAATTTGGAATAGTATTTTTTTTTTTTTTTGAGTCATGGTTTTTCTGTGTAACAGCCCTGGCTGTCCTGTAACTCACTCTGTAGACCAGCTGGCCTCAAACTCACAGAGATCCGCCTGCCTCTGCCTCCCAAGTGCCGGGATTAAAGGCATGCACCACCACCAACTGGCAGAATAATTTTTTATAGGAGCCTCAAATTTATTCACTCAACAGACTAGTTAAGCTAGTTTAGTACCAATTAATACTCGAATGAACTGAAATATATTCAAGACCAACAGTGTCTGACTTAATCCTACTATAGACTGTAGATAATATCTCCGAAGAAATATTAAATGAATTGCTTCATTAGACTATTCAGTGTCTGTTTGTAAACTGTTATGATTCAGGAAGACACAGTAAATGTAGAAACCTAAATATTTAGCAACTTTCATAGTAACTTAATCTCATTCCCATGGCCAAGCAGTCTGTGGAATCTTGTTTTTATTGACCCTATATAGTGTCACAGCTGTGCACCTAATGAGACTTGTCACTTCCTAGATCTAAGAAAGAAGAGGTTGTCCAGCACAGTCTGAAAGCACTGTTTAAACTCTTTTCATTGTTCCCCCAAATAAATTTTAAATATTCAGCACTTAAATATTAAAATACTAAATATTACCAGTGATTCTGAAATAAGGACATGACCATAACGTAATTCTTTGGGACTTACATTATTAAATGTAGCTATGCAAAGGTCATACATGGACCCACGAAAACATGTAACTTACAATGCCATGAATAATTGCAAGTCATACTTACTCCAATTCTATTCACCTAGGGTCTAAAATTGATTAGGAAAGAAATGCCCAGTAAGCTACTAAATAATGAGAGAGTCAGCACTTCATACATACATACTGCTTCATCTAAAATGAAAGAACTCGGCACAAACTGACATGAAAAGACTCCTTCTTCATTACCTGTACAAGGATTCGTGGTCTTTGTGGTGAAGGAAAAGGGATGTTTTGCATAAAATGTGAGATGTGCCTAGAAAAGATTGTGAAATGAGTACCACAGTTACTTTTCTTAAATGTATCACAGATTTTAGCAACCCTTTCATTCCACTATATATGATCCCAGTTGAAAACATTTATTTAAATTCCCAGATTTATTTAAAGCTGAACTAAAGAAATAAACCTATGCCAAGCATGGTGGTGCATTCTTGTAATTCTGGTATTTAAGAGGTTGAAGCAGGAGGATTACTACAAGTAGAAAACTACCCTGGGCTACATAGGCCAGCTTACACTGCAGAGTGTAAGTGTCTAATAAAACCAAACCAAACCAAACCACTATTTTCATCGAGAAAACAATAAAAGTAGTTCTCATAAAGTAAAGAAGCTAATTTGGGGACTGCAGAGATTGCTCAGCAGCTTAGAATGGCTACACTCTTCAGAGAGTCCAATTTCAGTTCATAGCCATTTGGTGGCTCACAACCACCTGTTAACTCCAGGTTCAGGAGGTCCAATGCCCATCTTCTGGCCTCCACAGGCAAATGCATACATGTGGTACACACATGTATGTACATGCACATACACAAATAAAAATAAATCTTTTTTTAAAATATTTGTGCCAGGTGGTGATGGTACACATCTTTAATCCAAGCACTTAGGACGCAGAGGCTGGCAGACCTCTGAATTCAAGGCCAGTTTGGTCTTGATGGCCAGGGTTACACAAATAAACCCTGTCTCAAACAAAAAAATTATTTTTATCGCTCTGGTTATCAGTGACAATATAATGAAGTATAAACAAGATTTTTTGTGTGTGTGTGGGGGGGGCGGTTTCAAGACAGGGTTTCTCTGTGGCTTTGGAGGCTGTCCTGGAACTCAGTCTGTATACCAGGCTGGCCTTAAACTCACAGAGATTGCCTGCCTCTGCCGAGTGCTGGGACTAAAGGCCTGCGCCACCACAATCCAGCTAACTAAGGAATTTAAACCTAAACTTATTAGTAGAACTTTAGACAAACCACCTAAATGCCCTTTCTCTACTTAGAAACAATGTTTCTCAAGTTTCTCCAGAGTTTTATGCTCTTAGGAGAGACAACAACTATCCACAAGGATGCTAACTTGTCACCAGTTAAATTTTACCTCAATGTAATTAATCTGACAACAGAAAGTTAAATGTAAAACTATAAACCAACTTGCATTCTGGGAATAAACTAACTTGCATTCTGGGAATAAAGTGGAAACCCTATTTTTTATACCAAATTTTGATATTTTAATAACATTACACAAACTTTTTGACCCTTCTTGCTTTGTTACTAAAGTTATTACTGTATACAACAATAAACAAAAGCCATGTCCTACTAGAAATCAAAACAGTTTATAACTGACAGGGTTGGGGCCAGAGGGATGACTCGGCAGGTAAGGTGTCTGCTCACCGAGACACATCGTGGAAGGAGAGAACTGACATTCACAAGTTATCCTCTAACCTCTACTAGAGTGCCTTGATGGTGTGTGTACATGTGTTTGTGCACATACATAAATGCACACAAGGAGCAAGTTTTCATTTATTCATTTATTTTATTTACTTTATATATATGAGTGTTCTGTTCACGTATATGTCTGTACATGACATGTGAAGGTCAGAAGATAGTACTGGATATTCTGGATCTAGAGTTGTTGGTGGTTGTGAGCCGTCATTTGGGTGCTGGAAATCGAACCCAAGTCTTCTGCAAGAACAAATGCTCTTACCTGCCCTCCTTCCTGTCCAAATAAATAAATAAATAAATAAATAAATAAATAAATAAGACAGGATGGAGGCTGTGTACATCTATAATGTCCCTGAATTCAGAAACAAAGAGGCTCAGGAGTTTGCAGTTAGTCTGGGCCACAAGGGGAACCCTCTGAAAAAAACAAACACTTCAAAAAAAACAAAAACAAAAACAAAAACAAAGACTTCATTCTTTTATGACTCCACATCTATTTTTCTTGGATTATAAACATTTCCATGACAAAGATAATTATAGGACATTCTACCTCATGCTAAAACCAAAATCACAGTAAACCTCAGTTAATTTACCTTTCTAATTTCCACATGTGTTTAGAGATGAATATTCATTATACCTAAATCTGTACTGGCCACCTACACAATGCACATGTGTGCATTCATTGTCTTGGTTTCTGAAGAAGGAATAGAAGAGCACACACTCTATACAAGTTATTTCCTCACCTGAATTCTCAAAACAGTCATAAGGCCATGTTTACCAAGACTCCAATTTCAAGTTCACGATCAATGACTCAGGTGGAGAAGGAACAAGTAAAAATAGGATGACTATCATTCTCCTTCCCTTTCAACTCTGCTGCTAAGTTAAATAACAATGAAATGAGCATTACATATCTTATTTTTAGACACGACACCTCATCCTTATACATACTTTTCAATGGGAAGAGGATGTGGTCCAGACACAGAAACTTTGTAGATAAACATAAGAAATTTCTTAAAAGCGTCAAAAAAAGGCCAGTGTGAAAGCAAACAAATGCACTTGTTTGAATTGATGGGTTTGGAGACCACTTTTCTCTCCACAGGGGTCAACAGGCCCAGCTGCATAAGCTGTTTCTCTGTTAGACGCTCTCGAGGGTAAGGCTCATAAAATTGGATGGCAGCTCCATACACCTGCAAAGAATTGTTGAAAGACTTGAGATTGTTTTGAAAATTCTTTTTTTTTCTATACATTTTCAATTTTTATATTTCATGCTGGAGATTAAGCTCTAAATCTCAACCATCCTCAGCAAGTGCTCTACCAGTAGATCTTCACACCCAATGCTCTTTTATATATTTAAGCATATTTTTTTTTATCAAAAAAAAGGAGGGAAGGAGGAAGGAAGAGGAGGGAGGGAGAGAAAAGAAAAGAAGAAAGGACAACCTCACGCAGAACTCAATTCCTATTTCCAGATGACTTGGCAACATCTCTATCTAGATAAACATCATAACCCATTATTTTCAAAAGTGAACAAGGACTGGGAGGATGCCTCAGTGAAGTAAGCACTTGACACACAGCTTAAGGCACTGAGTCAGATCCCCAGCATTCAAGTAAGTGTTGGGCACTAAAAACACGTTCTTCTGTCTTTGTTAGTCTGCCCTTTGGGGATGCATTTATTGAACCTTTTATATTTTTATGTTTGCTTTCTGTTTGTTTCTTTGTTTAAAGCAGGGTCTCTTACTGGGTAGCCCTGAAAGGACTAGAGCCAGACTGGCCTCAAACTCAGAGAACCACCTGCCTCCCAAATACTGAAATTAAAGGTGTGCACTACCATGTCAAGCTATCTGCTAAATTTTTAAATTTTTCATGTTTTATCCTTTTCTGTACTATATTTTAGAAAAATCTACCTTTCTCTTCATTCATTCTCCCTTTGGGTATTGACTTGTGTGTTACTGAAACCATTCACTGAAGGCTGGGCATGGTGGAACATGCCTATAATTCAACACAAGAGGCTGAAACAAGAAGAGTCATGTAAATGAGGCCAGCCTAGACTACACAGAGAGACCCAGTCTCAAAAAAAAAAAAAAAAAAAGAAAAAAAAATCAAAGTCACTGCATTTTAATTGTATTTATTTATATCTTTTAATTTTAAAGATTATATTTCGAATTTCTAGTCACCTGGCTTTTTTTTCCTATTTTGTTTGTTTGTTTTGAGACAGGATTTTTCTATATACCACTGGCTATCCTGGAACTTGTGATGTAGACCAGGCTGGCCTCAAACTCAACAGATCTCTCTCAGCCTGCCTCTTTGCTTCCCAAGTGCTGAGATAAGAGGCATGTGCCACCACACCCAGGTAAATTGTATATTTTATTCATTATCGCTTTAATTTTTTCTTTCAACCATTTCAATGTCTTAAAGCTCTCATCCAGTTGTTTTATGTAAACCTGATTCTTCCCAAGGTACCTATGTCTTTAAATCATTACCATGATCTCATTTTGAGACCTGTCTCAAAGTCTCAAAACATCTTATTTTGATACATAAGATTCAGAGATATCAACATATAATCACAGGTTTCACGATGACTTTTTAAAATTTTTATAAATTATTTATTATTTTAAAAAACTCAGAAATAAATAAAAAAAATGTCACACACTAAAATTAACTAGCCCCAAAGTCTGCCAATTCTAACTGTATAGAAGTTCACTGAGCTGTACAGACTTTGGGTCTAGTTGTTTTCAACATCTTACAATGGATGTCCCAGTATAAATGCAAATGTCTTTTATCCAAATAATCCTAACATTCAGATAAAACATAAATCAACCACTTTATAACATTAAAACATGGACAAAACAGGCTTAATCAACTAAGCACAAAATATACCTTTACAGCTGAAGAACCTGTCAAAACAAATGTTGAGAAAACAGGAAGTGGATATTTGGTTTGAGGATCCCAGCATTCAATAGTGGCTCCCATAGGAAGACAGAAGAGAGGCACAGATTCTGAGAGCGGAAAGGACTCATAATCTTCTTCCGGATATCGAAAAATCAAACCTTTCAGAGAAAGATAACATTTCTTTAAAAAAAAAATCACTTTACATAAATTATTTATGATATGCACATATTATAATATCAAATTTCTTAGAAATATTTGTATGAAATTTCAAAATTAATTTTTTCTATAACAGAAATTAAGATAAGTCAATCTATCCTTTATATGTTATTCCTGAACTTATATTTAATTACAACATGAAAATGTATTAAGAATACTAAAAAAAGAGTGAAGTCAATCTTGATCACCAATCAACACATTTTTTTAACCTAAATATGTCAACACCTTGTGAAGAATGGTAAGAAAGTTAAAGGAAAATTTACCAATTATTTCAGTTAGTCTTTGGAAAAAAATTTAAAGAAGGGATAAATGTTATTTAAAAAATGCAAGGCAAGAGAAGTGATCCCAGCCCCTATACCAGTGCTGAAAGCTGCAGTGTAAATGGCATTCAACATGAACAAGACAGAGTAAAGTATGCGAGTCCCAGGAAGGAGGGGCAGGTAGTAGTCCTGAGAGCCCTAACAGAGCTCTTCAGAACACAGAAGCTGTACACCATCAATTAATTAGCCTCTACTGTCACCAATATACTGCCCACTTCCAACCTAAAAACCTGAAAGCAAGATTTTAGTCAAGTTCAGTCTCTAAAACTCTGTATTACACTAAAATATGTATCTCATAATAAGTATCTAAAACTTAGGTTCTAAATACTTTTGTAAACTTTCTGCAAATATTTTAGGTTTGAGCATTATATGTTGATACCTTCTCCCTTCCAAAGAAAAGACTTCAAGTATCATGTATTACAGACATATTACAGCAATATCATATTCTAAAATGATTCTGAATTTCCTATTAGTTGCTTTTGTTTCTATATAAAGTAAATGGTTTATTTCATTAGTATAAATAGTTTTATGAGGACAATCAAGAATTTTCAGATATGGATTTGCCTATTTTCCCTAAAATAAAATTCCTTCAAAAACTGCATAAGCAAAAAGTAATTGGCACTGCTTCTCTTCACAAAGAAGCATTCCAGTATCTTCTATTTACAACTGGAGCATACCTGTGTTTTCAGATTTTATCCCACCATACCAGTGGGATGAAGAAGTCACACTTAAATCTTTACAGCCCTTGACACTTTAGTGTGCAGTTAGAGTGTGGCGATAGATTTCCCAAAAACTTCATGGCAGAAAAGTTTCTCAGGCCCTCCTCTCCTCCAAATAGCTGATTCTTTGCAACAAGAGAGAAAGGAAGCAAGTCCACCTTTCATGGCAAGTAACATGTGGTTCAAATCAGACACACAAAGATAAGAGAAGGAAATATAAGAAGTAAAGATGCAGTTTGACACCTTTATGATTCTCCAAATACAAAGATCAAAGAACAAATTTTCCAATGAATTTTAAATCTATTAGTGTAGACCAAAGCTTGGAGGTTTATGCCTCATATGCTTGCTTGAACAAAAGTTTAAATTTAACAACATACTGAGGGCAGTATTAGCAAATCTTAACAGCATATAATGCATTTAAGAAAACTTCAGCCTTTACATGCTAAAAATTATATATAATTAACAAATCAATCAATTCCACAAAGTACATAAGGAAACATTATTTTGTCTCTTCTAGCCAGCCCAATGTTAGCATTCACTAGTTTGTCAATTGGGACAGATCTTCAATTCACTTACCAGCCTTATATGCTATTGCATTTGAAGCAGGCACAGACTTCTTATAACACAGAAACACATTGGAACCCCACTGTAAAAGATAAATTGAGTTTTCAAAAACAAACAAAAAATGAAAAGGAGGAACTGATGATCTTGAATGTCATCTAGAGATTATTTATCCAGACAAGTCATTTAAAACTCCTAGTTAGCCAGGAGTGGTAATACCTGCCTGTAATCCCATCATTCAGGATGAGGAAGCAGAGGGAAGTGAATTTGGGGCCACTCTGGGTTACAAAGACCCTGTCTTTAAAAACAAGCAAAAAGAGCTGGGTGTCTTAGTTAATATGTTGAGGTTAGGGTATTTGTGAAACCTGGGTATGATCCCCAGTGCCACATAAAATTAGGCATGGTGGTGCATGCCTGCTACCTTGGCACGAGGATGGTGGAGACAGGCCTGGGAGTTCAAGGTTCCCTACATAACCATTTCCAGACAAGCTTGGGATGGGATACATGAGACCCTGTCTCAACAGTAACAAATATTTTAAAATTAAAACCTATGTTTATAAAGGTAAGAATGTAGCTCAGTGTAGCTTTGATTCTAGCACCCAAAAGAATATCAAAACATGGAATAAAGTAAAAATACAGTTGACAATACAAAAGGGAAAGAAACAATTTGGATTTTTTGGGTTTTTTTTGGGGGGGGTTGTTTGTTTGCTTTTAAAGATATTTTCAAAAAGTTTAGAGTTGATGAGGCCAGTGGGATGATGGCTCAGTGGGCATAGGTGCTCACTGTTAAACCTGACAACCTGAGTTCAATCTTTGGGATTCTCATGTTGGAAAGACACTCAATTCCCAAAAGTGATCTTCTGTCCTCCATGTGTACACATGTCCACGGCCCCCTTACCCAGAGTAAAATGTCATTTTCAAAATCTTACAGTTTTGTAATCATTCAAAGACTACTAGTGCTTAAAAGAAGTCACACACAAAGAGGAACCAATATTGGAACCCAAGTAGGAAAGACTGGGTCCCCCAGGAGATTATGGAGTCATCACCTCTACTAATAGTTATGAATGCATGGATTTCTGCCTATCTTCAAGATAAATCTAACCCAATCATAAGTGTTAGTCATATACAACTACAAACCAAATGTGTATGCCCAATTTCCTTTTCTACAAACTCTGTGTGCTTATATAAGGCAGGGTCTGACTTTGTGGCCCATATTGACCTGGGAAAGTCCTCTTCAGCCAAGGCCAGCTTGAACTCCTGGGTACTGGGAGTTTCCTCCCAATCTATCCACAACTGTCCTTAAAGTTACTATTGAAAACCAGAAGTTAATAAATCTCTATGTTGATGTAACAGACAATATCAAGATATACACAGACATACATAAAATCCCAAGCTTAAATTATACTTTTTTGTTCTGTCATGAGAATATTAAAAATAATGATTTATGCACATTAGAAAGGCATGGCTAGTACTCCACAATAAAGGAGCTAGAACTAGATTAGCATGCACAGGCACTCATTTGATCCCCAGCTCCACCAGTCTTTTTAAATTAAAAAAAAATAGGTAAATATATAAACAAGAATCATAGAAATGTGAAAATAAATTATAGAACCAATATTAAACCTTTCTGATTTATTTCCAAACCAAAGTTTGAAAAGGAAACAACTTTTTTCTTACCATGCCACAATTTAAGTTCTTATCAACTTTGCAGAAAGTGTGAGGAGGGGTTTCTCCTTTACTGGTTATAATAACACAGATGTCAGTTACAGCCAAGGAATTCTGGGACCGAGCTGGAGGAGCCCTGCGATAGGTGATAAAGATTCTTTGGGAAGTAGTTGAACTATTGTTGACATTGGCACAGCGACCATAGGGTGTGGCTTGGATCACTTCACATCCTGGAATAAGCCTTTCTTTCCCTTCATATAGCACTCTGCAAGGCAAGGAGGAAAGGGAGAAAAGGGATTAAAGGTTAATGTTGTTTTCTTGAAATGAGCAAAGAAAACTTTAATCATCCCTGTTCCTCTCCAAACTTTTAACAGGAAAACAAAACCAAAATTACTACTTTAAGAATTATAAATCTCTGGATTATATTTCAAATGCTAGAACACAATCTAAGAAGCAAAAACTCAATTTTTTTAAGATTTATTTATTTTATTATGATTTTGCTTCCACATATATATCTGCACACCAGAAGAGGGCACCAGATCTCATAACAGATGGTTGTAAGCCACCATGTGGTTGCTGGGAATTGAACTCAGGACCTCTGGAAGAGCAGTCGGTGCTCTTAACCGCTGAGCCATCTCTCCAGCCCTCACAATGGAAATGGAAGCACCACAGACATCCTCAGGTCGGGCTTTAGAAATTCTATAGAATATTCAATTTGTTGGTTTCAGGAAAACATTCTTCCCAATTCCTGCCAACTTTTATATTTAAAAGTCCTTAGATCAAGAGAGTCCCATTCACTAGGGAGGCAGAGGCAGGAGGATCTCTGTGAGTTCAAGGTCAGCCTGGTCTACACAGCAAGTTCCAGGCCAGACAGGGAGAGAAAGCAAACCACAAATCCATCCATTCACAAATGGTACCTACCATCAAGTAAGAAAAATGTGCCAAGTATCCCAATTGATACACAAGAAGTCCAAGACCTGCCTCGGAGACACAAGGAATTCCAATTCTGCCAGGGCTACAAAGTAAGATCCTGTCTCAAAAACACGAGGCTTGAGAGGCGGCCCAGTGGGTAACGGCACTTGCTGTGAAACTCAGCCTCAGCTTTCATCTCTGAGACCCACATGGCAGAAACAGAGAACCCACTCCTGTAGGCTGAACTACACATGTACCCCCACAAACACATATTTGTAGACACACAAACTTCTTTAATTATGTAACTTCAAAAAAAGTAAAAAAAAAAGTGTGTGTGTGTGTGTGTGTGTGTATATATATATATATACATATACATATACATACACACACTTCATACACAAAATATGAAAAAAATTGCAAGTCACATAAGATAACAGAATTTTTAAATCGATACACACAGGACATGGTGGCACACACTTGTAGTCACAGCATTTATGGGGCTGAGGCCAACTGAATACATAGTTAGACTGTCTGAGGAAAAGACAAGGGGCGGGTTTGGTAATGCACACCTTTAGTCCCAGCACTCAGGGGGCAGAGGCAATGTACACAAGGTACATATGAGTTCCAGGCCAGTCAGAGCTACATAGTGAGACCCTGTCTCAAAAAACAAGTAAGGGGCCTGGAAAGAGAGGTCAGTGGTTAAGAACACTGCTGCTCTTCCAGTAGACCCAGGTTCAATTCCCAACACCCACAAGGTGGGTTACAATCATTTGTAACTCTAGTTCTAAGGAACATGATACCCTCTTCTGGCCTCCAAAGACACTAAACACATACATGGTGCACAGACATACAAGACACAAAGCACCACCACACATAAAATAAATAAATTAGGCCGGGCGTTGGTGGCGCACGCCTTTAATCCCAGCACTCGGGAGACAGAGGAGGCGGATCTCTGTGAGTTAAGAGGCCAGCCTGGTCTCCAGAGCGAGTGCCAGGATAGGCTCCAAAACTACACAGAGAAACCCTGTCTCAAAAAACCAAAATAAATAAATAAGAAAAAATAAATAAGAAAAATTTTAAATAAAACATATAAACAAAAGGGCACAAAGCTAGGTGAGATATATTATAATGAGAACCTCTGTTACCCTTGCAGTTTCTGAATAAAGTTAAACTGTTTCAAACTAAACTGTTTTTTGCCAGAACTGGGGACAGGTAGGCAGGACTGAAAGCTCTAGACCAGACTGGGCTGTGCAGCTAGGCCATGTCTCCAGAAACCAAGTAAGTCCTATTTTTAAAAAAATGTTTGAATAAATAAATAAATAAAATCTTTAAAAAAATGTTTGAAATGAAATGTCCCTATTTTTCAAAAGTAGGCAAAGACATTCAAATGGCCAAAACACATGGAAGCTGCTGAGTATGTCAGATAGAAGAAGTACAAATCCAAAGATGAGCTATCACTTCATCAAGAAGATAAGAGGGCTGGGTATGGTAGCACAGGCCTTTAGTCACAACACTAAGGATGCAGGGGCGGGTGGATCTTTGTGAATTTGAGGCCAGCCTGCTCTACATAGTAAGTCCAGGACAGCCAGGAATAGAGAGAGTCTGTCTCAAAAACAAAACAAAAAGACAAATAAGGGGGCTGGAGAAATGGCTCAGCAGGTAAGAGCACTTGCTACTCAGATCCCAGCAATCGTATCAGGTTAACTCACGACCACTAAAACTCTAGCTGATGGCCTCCTCCTGCCCCTAAGAGCATCTGCGCATACAAATACACACAGATGTGCATGTTGTATGTGTGAATATAGAGAGAGATACACACATTAAAAAAAAAAAAAGACAGATAAGTATTAGTTGAGGATGTAATTAATATATGCAGAATCTTCATATACCACTGATGAAAAGTACTTGATTTAGAAAACAGTTTGATAGGTCTTCAAAAACTTCCACAGAAGCCAACAGTGTACTCTAGGTATACAACCAAGAGAAATAAAAACACAAATGCTCGTAAGATCATTACAGTAGCCAAAATGCCTTGCAATTTAAATCAAGACTCTATCAGCAACTGAGTAACAGAAACAACGAGGGGCCAGAGAGGAGGCTTAGAGGTTAACAGTATGTTCTGCTCTTTCAGAAGACCCAAGTTAGGTTTCCAGGATCTATATCAGATCACAAGCGTCTGAAACCTCTGCTCCAGGATTTCCAACACTCTCTTTTAGTCCCCTTGGGCACCTGCATGCACAGGAAAGGCAGGCAGGCAAACAGGTGCGCGCGCGCACGCACACACACACACACACACACACACACACACACACACACACACACACCTATAAACCATAAATTTAAAACAAACACACAGAAGCTTTCGGACCACAGTCATGTAGGGCTATAAGTCTAACCATTTTTCTGATTTATTTATTTTTGTTTTGCCTGCAAATATGTCTGTCACCATGTACATTCACCATTAGAAGCCAGAAGAGGGCATCAGATGCCCTGGGTCTGTAGTTGTGCAGACTAAAGCAATTCTAGCATTCATAAAACATTAAGCAAAAATAAATTTAAAAAAAAATAAAAAAAATAGACGGGTAGTGGTGGCACATGTCTTTAATCCCAGTACTCAGTAGACAGAGCAGGCAGATCTCTGAGTTCAAGGCCATCCTGGTTTACAAAGTGAGTTTCAGGACAGCCAGGACTACTACACAAAGAAACCCTGCCTCAAAAGAATAAGAAAATAGATAAATAACAGTTTTTTTTAATGTACAAACACTATTAACCCAGTATAACAACATGTAAGCTTCTAAGATGAAGAAAAGAAAGTTGGCACATAACTCATTATAAACCCAACTCTACAGTCTTAACTCTCCAACTAAAATATGAACACTGGCTGAGTGGATTAAAAGTAATATTCAACTGTTTGTTGTATACAAGACACTCAAAAACACACAGATGGGAAATGAAAGGATATGAAGCAATACTCCAAGAAAAGGAGAATCTGAAAGCAAACAGGATCACCTATACTCCTATCTGACAAAGCAGACTTCAAGCCAAAATTACTCAAAAAAGATCAAGTCCTTACATACTATCAGAACAACAATTACAAAGATGAGGGCTGGGTAGAGAACACAGCACAATCCTTAGGACTAGAGTTCAGATCCTAGTACCTAAGCAAGAAGCCAGCATTCCTCACACACCTGTAATTCCATACTTGGGAGGCTGAGGCAGGAAGATTACCAGGAGTTTGAGTTCAGCTTTGCCTATATAAAGTGTTCTAGGCCAGTAGGGGTGGGAGTAGGGAGTAGTAAACAATTTACCAGGCCTTTGGAATATACCAAAGGTAGCTAGCTCTAAAAGGAAGATAATGATAAAAACATGAGAGGCTAGCAACATAGCTCAGTGAGTAAAAACACTTGCTGCCATGGCTAAAGCCCTGAGTTTGATCCCCAGACCCCACATGAGAGAAAGAGAGAATTGATGCCCTCAAATTGTTCTCTAACCTCTAAATGCATGCTGTTAAGTTTCAAACCCAGAAATGGCTGAGGTGACTATCATATCAAAGCAGAGCTGGCAGCCAGGTTCTCCCAGCAGCCCTCAGTCCCTACCAGCTACTGGATAGGGATCAGAACATACCCTACCCTCTACCCTGAACTCTCCAGACCAGGGGTTGGGCTGCCCTTCACTTCCCCTAGAGGCTCTTCCCTATATAATCCAGACATTTGGGTTACCTGCCCCTTTTTGTACCTTCAGCCTCCTGGCTGCTGCACCTAGTTCCCCTCTCCCCTCTGTCCTCCCACACATCCCACACGGCCCAGCTCAGCTTGGTCATGTCCACTGTGGACTCTCCCAGATGTCCCTGCTTCTGGCTATGCTCTCCCTTTTATCGACAATAAACTTCCCCTGGACTGAATGTCAGTGGTAGCACACGCCTTTAATCCAGGGGGATCTCTGTGAGTCCAAGGTCAGCCTGGTTTAGAGCTAGATCCAGGGCAGCCAGAGCTGTTACATAGAGAAACCCTGTCTCAAAAGAACAAAAACGCAACAACAAAACCAAAAACAAACAAAAACACAACTTCCCTCTCCACCATACCTAAGAGCAGTCGTGTCCTGTCCTTTCTTTTCTTTCTTCCTCTTTTTTTTTTTTTTTTTTTTTTTTTTTTTTTTTTT